GGGAATACTTCTCAAATACAACATTACCTGTTTAGGGCAACAAGAGGCAGTGGTATCTAGAGCCCCAAGTGTTTTTTAGAAAAACCAAAGATCTATTGAGCAGTAAAACGTAAGTGAGGAATGGGGCCTTTTATTACTGATGTGACTTAATGTAGCAGGGTTTCTGGTAAGCACATTTGGCAGGGTCTCTACAAAGACACATCTGTCTGTATGGAAATGACTCTTAGCGTATTTACATCTGCTTGGACATAGGCTCTGTGGAGGGGTCACTCAGGAATGTTGTAGGGAGGGTGGCTAGGAACATGCCCCTGGTTTGAAGACACCTGTCCTTACGGGAAAATGGAGTAAAACTCCGTCAGCCAGTCTGTTCTCCTGTGTCCTTTTCCTGGGCGAGCAATGTGCTCCATTCTCCCTCTACCTCTCATTTTGATTGTACCACAGCTTTTGCTGTGAGCCATCAGCTACACAGACAGTTACTTCCTCACTGGAGAATTAACTTCTCAGCTGGTGATTCATTTCTCCTTCTTAGAGACCATCTTGGTTGGGTGGTGCTTGTTCTGTGGTCGTGAGTAGCTCCAGAGACTCCATATGGTGTGACCAGTTCTAAGTGCACCTATATATGACCTTGCTAGTAAAGCCTGTCACCAAATCAAATGTCAGTCTGACTGGAGGGTATACGGAGGACCTGTTAACACTTTACTGTTTGGGTTGGGAAGGGAAATGTTAGCCTTGAACTTTCTCTTTTAATTTTAATATTGTTCTCATTGATGGCTTTCTTTGTGTTGTTAATCCGTAATAACCATCATTTTATACACTAAACCAGGGGTCCACAACTGATTCTGTGGGGGGCGGTGGAGTAAATATTTCTGGCTTTGTGTAGCAGACAGGCTACTCTGGCATGAAAACAGCCACGGACCAAACATAAGCAGGCAGAGTGTTCCAGTAAGACTTAATTAATGATCTTCATGTACATTTCATATAATTTTAACATATCAAATAGGAGAGAAATTACTTCTTTGAGTTCTTTCCCTTGCCATCTAAAAGTATGACACCCATCCTCAGCTCCTGGGCGGTGGCATGCCAACTTCTGTGTGTGAGTCTCGACTCAGTGTGGATACAGGCCGGTGGGTGATATGGGCCTTGGGCTGGGAGAGGTGCTGGTCTTCAAAGGTGTCTGCCTGGTGAAAAGGCATTCAGTGGAGAGAACACAGCCTAGTCAGCCTGCACATGGCAAGTTTTGCCCTCTCTGGGCCACAGTTTAAATGTCCTGGGCTGAAACCTCAGACCCAAGGAGTTACTGTGGGAGTTTTGACACTTGGTCAAGGGCACCATGCTGTGGCTGTGGCCTGTAGTCTTTCCCTGTGCCCATGCCAGATGCTAAAGCCTGCCTGTCTTTGCCTTGTTTTTGCAGTTCTTCCTCCCATGACTTGTCCAGCTCATGGGAGCAGACGACCCTCCAGCGTGCCTCTGGCCACTTCAGCTCCCTGGGGAGTATGGACAGCCTGGACCACCCCTCCCAGTCCTACCCCTCTGGCCGTCTTTCAGCAGCCAAGTCCAACAGCAGCATCGACCACCTGGGTTCCCATAGCCAGCGAGACTCAGCGTATGGCTCCTTCTCCACCAGCTCG